ATAAATCCATAAATAGGAGTTTGTTAAGAACTCAGGATTAAGATCATTCTATATATGTCTATCGGTAGACTCAATTAGAATTTCTATGCTTAACAGAAATTATTAGAAATTCATATTGTGTCTGTGTCATTGTTCCACATAATCTTATTATGTGAAATACACTCATTCAATATCTCGCCATATTAACAGTGCGGATAACACCGTTCCATTCTAAATGGGAATGACATGTATTAATAATGTTTGAATTAAAGATTCTTAACTTTAATTAAATTCATCATGAATAATGTTTTTGATTATTATCCTTAAACACTATCCTCTTGTATATAACACTTATATACTATGTTTAAGGTTACATAAACAATCACGGAATTTTCATTTGATATTCATAAAATATTCATTAATATATGCACATAAAATGATGAATAAACTCTTTTATTAATTAAATAATAAATATCCTATTACATCTTATGCTTCTAGGACACTATTCCCAATAATGAGGGCCAAGATTGCTCCGTTGGAGGTAATCTGAGAGACATTAAGTCACAAAAACCCTAATTTGGAGAGGCACACTAATCAAGAAAGATTGGAGGCATAAACTTCAAGAACAAGAGAGAGATTGCAGGCTGAAAAATTGGAGGATTTTCTTGGAGACATCTTGGAAGATTCTTAAAGATTGAAGCCTTGAAGATCACTCTACTATAGTTTTCTCTTAATCTCTACTCTTTTTATTTTGATTTTAATTTGAAAATTGTAATTGTGATATTGTGACAACATGGTTGCTTTTATGATTTTCATGATTATTATGCTTATGGATTTGACCATGTGTGACTAGAGGTCTAATCAAGGGTCTTCATGTAGCTAGCTTGAACTATGTTGTGAATATTTAGTTGGTTGTTAATGAAATCTTGACTCAATCATTTGTGTTTCTCTAGAACTTAATGCCTCTAGTTGATTGGAAAATATACTAGTTTCTTTGATATTTGGGTTGATGCTTGGGAGAGATTAGTTCGAATATCGGTATAGAGAAGCACATTCTAATGTAGTTGTGAGACCGGGAGGTGACCAACGCGTAGGTAATTGTTATGAGAATCTTAGAAATTGTGAGACCGGAAGGTGATCAAATGCTTAGATAATCAATATTGAAAGGCTGAGCTTAATGAATGTGTTTATACCTAAGTTAGATAGGGATATTGGCTTGTTTATTTGCACATGTTGTCTTACTTGACGCTCAGGAGAGGTAATGAGACTAATTTAGAAACCTTAGTTTAATGAATTGAGTTAACTTAATTAGCAACCACTAAATCGGAAGACATAGTGAGAGCGAAGCAAAGTCAAGACCCTAGAACTCTATTATTATTGTTATTTCCACTCATAGTTTTGATATTTAGTTACTTATTTTATTAGATCTTGTGTTCTAGCTTTAATAGTTAAATTAATTTGCTTTTCTTGCTTCAATTACTTAGTTCCCTTGATTTCGGTCGCCTAGAAAAAATTTAGTCACGAACACTCACGATACTTAGTTTAATTCTCAAAAATTCAATCCTTGTTGGACGATATTCGACTTTTTAGTCACTTTACTACTTTTGTGACCCGTGCACTTGTTGAAAGTTTTGCAACACGTTTTTGGCACCGTTACCGAGGATTGAATATTTTTGATAATTTGAACTAATATTGTGATTAAGTGACTAGTTTTAATTTAGGCTTTTCTTTTTATTTTACTTTTCTCAATTTTCATTGTTCATTGTGTTGGTCTCCGGATTGAATCCGGCTGCGGAAGCGCGGTGGTGCAGTGGAGAGGCGGATTGTGTATAACAAAAATTTTCATAAAACTTTTGAGATACTCTATAGATTATATTAATTTATGCACGAATAAATTAATCTCATTAACTTATATATATCAAGAACTCAATCAGGAAAAATACCTGGAAGCCGACTCGGATGATAACTTGAGTTCTTTGACCACGAACAGTCCTTGCTCTAATATTTGTGTTTAGAAAACCAATGTCTTCCACATTAATTCCTAGAATCCACGAAGATGTGTGTCTTCCACATTAATTCCTAGGGCTGAAAAATTGTTTCCAAAATTTCTATAGAGAAATTTCGGCTACCTCTAAAATTTGGGCAAAAAACCATTCCGAAAATTGTCTCAAAAATAGTATTTATAGAGTAGAAGTCAAACTTCTAGAAAGAATCCAATCTCTATCTCCAATTTGAATTTTGAACCAAAATTCTCCTCTATCCCTTATCCCTTGTGGCCGGCCATGCTAGGAATTCCTATCCCTGTGTGTGGCGCCAATACTGGATAGAGAAGGAAGAGAAAATCATCCTTTATCCTGTAGTCCAATTTTATTTCAAATTCAAATTCGAATTTAAGTCAAACTTAAATTAATATGAATTTCTAAATTGAACAACTTATCTAATAAGTTTAAATGGATAAATCTAGATGTGTTCAAATTCAAATTTAAATAATCACATTATTTAAATAATAATTAATTCTCAATTAATTATTTTCGAGTATTTAATTTTAGAATTCCGTAATTCTAAAATTCCCATTTTACTTTCTGTGTCTGGTAGAATTACTAGGACGACGCGGGGACTAATGGACCTATAATCCCGAGCTCCAATAAAATTAATAATCAATCTAATTACTTCTTTATCCTTGAGTACCATTGATTCTCTAATGGACAGTGATTCATAAAACACATTCATGAATCGGAGCTCCTACTGGTCCAAGTACCGAATCAACCCTCAAGAGAATTATTTATCTACTTCTTTCTTACGAAGGAATGGATTCCATCTCGTGTAATAACATTCCCGGCTACCTACTTCATCATGTCTCCAAAATACAAGGAATAGGATTCAGGATCTCAGAATCCGTACCGAGTAAATCAAAAGACACAAATCCATAAATAGGAGTCTGTTAAGAACTCAGGATTAAGATCATTCTATATATGACCATCGGTAGACTCAATTAGAATTTCTATACTTAACGGAAATTATTAGAAATTCATATTGTGTCTGTGTCCTTGTTCCACACAATCTCATTATGCGAAATACACTCATTCAATATCTCACCATATTAACAGTGCGGATAACACCATTCCATTCTAAATGGGAATGACATGTATTAATAATATTTTAATTAAAGATTCCTAACTTTAATTAAATTCATTATGAACATTGCTTTTTGATTATTATCCTTAAACATTATCCTCTTGTATATAACACTTATATACAATGTTTAAGGTTACATAAATAATCATGGAATTTTTATTGATATTCATAAAATATTCATAAATATATGCACATAAAATAATGAATAAACTCCTTTATTTAATAAATAATAAATATCCTATTACATCTCATGCTTCTAGGACACTATTCCCAACACATTGTTGCTTGACAATTTATGTGAAGGAGTCGGAGCTTGGATTTGCTACCATATAATCTGGAAATCAAACGAGCTTGTTGTACAAACCGGAGGGAAAGAAGGGCAAGAATTCAAGCCATGGCGAATGAGCAGAGCAACAAGAACAACAATGTCAACAACAACAATGTCAACAATGTTGTTATTGACAATCAACAATGGACTTTAAGGGATTATTTCCGGACGGTGTTGAATGATAATTACTCGGGGACCTGGCACCAAGCAATCAAAGCTAATAACTTCGAGTTGAAGCCGGCCTTAATGAGTGTGGTTCAACAAAATCAATATGGGGGATTGCCACATAAGGACCCTAATGTTCATCTCTCGGTATTTTTGGAGATTTGTGACACAATTAAGATGAATGGTGTTTGATGTGATTCGGTAGCGCTTGTTCTCATTTTCTCTTAGGGACAAGGCGCGAGGTTGGTTACAAGCATTAGCTCCGGGGAGTGTCGCTACTTGGGATGAGTTGGCTCAGAAATTCCTTAACAAGTTCTTTCCTCCCTTGAAGACAACACAGTTAAGGAGCGATATCGCTCAATTGAGACAGTTAGATTTTGAGCCTCTTTACGAGGCATGGGAGTGATTCAAGGACCTCATCCAGAGATGTCCTCAACATGGCTATCAATAATGGTTCCAAATTTAGTTGTTCTACAATGGGTTAAATAAGCTAATGAGGGCGGTTCTTGATGCGGCGGCCGGTGGTACTCTTTTGTCGAAAACCGCTGAGGAAGCCCAATTACTTTTGGAGAAAATGTCTACAAACAATTCCCAATGGCCTAATGAGAGGTCAATTTTGAAGAAAGCGGTGGGAGGTCATGAAATGGATCCAATCATTACATTATCCGCTCAAGTATCGACCGTGGCTAATCAATTTTTGGTGTGGACCACTTGAGAGAGGCTTCTACAAGCAAGGGTGTGGCTAATGTAGTGAACACTTCTTATGTTAAAGAGGGGATTAACTAAGAGCAATGCTAATACATAAACAACCGGAACTATAATTTTTGGCCCGCCAACAATTTGCCAACTCACTACCATACAGGGCTCCGAAATCATGAGAACTTCTCTTATGTCAACTAAAGAAATGTTCTACAACTGCCTCCGGGGAAGTGGGACCTACTGTGATGGATAAGGAACATCCATTGGAAGATATTTTGGCCACTTTCATGTTAGAGACCACATCAAAGTTCAAACAAGGTGATTTGAGGCTCACTAGCATAGAAGGCCATTGTAATAGCATGGAAGCCACCATGAAGAATCTTGAGATTCAAATTGGTCAATTAGCCAATTTCTTAAAGGGTCCTCAACCGGGTCAATTCCCAAGTGACACGGAGGAGAACCCAAAAGACCATTGCAAGGTCATTACACTTCGAAATGGGAAAGCACTTGAGGGCCCCAAACCTCGTGAAGCTAAGGCTAAGAAGAAAGAAGATGTAGTTGTAGATGAGTCACTAAAGGTAGAATCAAATCCCAATTCTATTTCATTTTCAGAAAATCTTCCCATTGTTGCTCCACCTTTGCCGTTTCCTCAACTATTTCAAAAGAAGAAACTTGATGCTCAATTTTCTAAGTTTCTTAAAATTTTCAAGAAGCTGCATATTAACATCCCTTTTGTAGATGCCTTGGAACAAATGCGAACTATGTGAAGTTCATGAAGGAAGTGATTTCTAAGAAGTGAAAGGTGGAGGATTACGAGACGGTGAAATTAACGGAAGAATGCAGTGCTATTCTCTAAAGGAAGCTTGCACAAAAGTTGAAAGATCCCGGGAGTTTTACTATTCCATGTACCATTGGGAGTTTGAAGGCTTTGTGTAACCTTGGTACTAGCATAATCTCATGCCTTTATCGGTATTCCGAAAGTTGAGTCTTGGTGAGGTAAAGCCTACAACTATTTTTTTGCAAATGGCGGATCGTTCTCTTACCTATCATCGTGGTGTTACTGAGGATGTTTTGATCAAGGTGGATAAATTCATCTTATGGAGAGTATGTAATTCAGGTATTGAACTAAAATATCTTCTAATAGATGCTTAATTATAATAATCAGAATGTAGAAAGATACAAAATCATATTAACAATAAGTCTAGTAAATTTTGATTAAAGTCGTTAATACACCCCACTTGATATAGAGATAAGCAGATGACCGTTGTCTAAATATACATAAATACAATACACATTCAATTCAAATTATTTAACCCCAAAATGGGAAACTTTGGAGAGACACAATATTGTTGTTTTTAATCATTAGTTGTCGTTGATCAGTTTGTTGTTCTCTTGAAGTCGTCATTTTTCACGTTAGCGTCAATGGTTTTATTAATTGTCGTCTATACGTTTTAATGTCATTTTCATGTATCGTTCTCTTTGAGTTGTTTTCCAACATATCAACATGGTCTTTCACCTTTCAATAGTGTTTATTTCTTTCGAACAAAAGTTACAATAAAAAGAAAGAAATTAAAAAAAAAAAACGACATTACATGCGTACGGGGGATGATACATCATAAATCATAAACAACATAAATGGCAACTTATATCTCACCAAACTAAGGACCCACAACAAGCCCTTTTCTGAATAATAGTACTTATAACATGGTGGTCCACGTCCTTTAAGCATTAATATATGGAAGTGAAGTTGAAGTTGGAACAACTTGTGTGCCTCAACAAAAGTGAAGAGCTGAATCCAAGGCTAGAAGAGGCTAAATCAAACTGGAGGAGATTGTCTTCAATCTGATGCCCTCCGATCACAATCGAAGTCATGAATTCGTGCGAACCGCCGTCAACAACTCCGAGGCACAAAACATTATCCCGAACCCTAACCATGGAGTTAGCACCATAAATCCTCCAGTACACGTTTGCACTCTGCAACACAAGATCGATTTCAGGCACCGCCGGGCCAGTTGGAGTCTCGCCGATATTCCTCGAGCTAAAGCACGCCCCGAAAGGCGCCACCGCCGCAACCCGATGGACATTACTACCGATCGCTTTGACAAATGCTCCGACAACGGCTTTGTATATGGATGTTTCCAACACCGTGTAGGGGTCCACGGTGCTGATCTTCGTTCCGCCGTAACCGACACGGTTGAACGACAGCAATGTAGTGTTCAACGGCACGGCTTTACCGTCGATCTTGATGGACTTTAGTCCGATATAGTACTCAGAAGAAGCCTCGTCCTTGAAACCCCCGACAATTTTAAGAGGGTTAAGGATGAGCGGCGTGTAAGTCAGAGACTTGGAGACGTCAACGTTGTTAGGATGCAAAACGTAAGGCCCGTCGCCGAAGATAACGAAGCCGTTGGATCTTGTGGAAGGACTCAAGCAAAGAGCGAACTTCCTTTGGAAGCCGAAAGCTGCGGAGAACTGAAGAGGAGGAGAATGCAAGGTACTCCGTCCGAGTCCGGCCATGCCTTTGACGCCGGCAGCCAGTTGTTGTAAGTAGAGGGTGGAGGAGCAGACGAAGATGAACTGCGGTACCGAGACTACTTTTCGGGGATTAGACCCGTCGGTGGATTGGATCGAGAGAATGTCGTAGGCGATCATATCGGTGCTACTTAAGCGGGCGATAGGGTTTTCGGGGACCTCCATGCAAATGGTGTCGTTAATGCAAGCCCTAGCATTGCCCTCGAGGCGGCCGCGGCATTTCGGTGAGTGGCAAGGCAAGGGCTTGAAGGTGGAGGAGACATAGCCGTGCTCGCAGTCGACCCAAATGTACTCGCCGCCGACGTCGACGGTTAGCTTGACGGGGACTCGGGGGGTCCTTTGGGCGACGTGGGTGATGTATTGGAGAGTGGAGGCGTCTTTGGTGACGGGTAGAAGGAGAGCTTTGGGGCGGGATGAGGTTTGAGCTGTGGAAATAGGGAAGAGAATTAAGGAGGAGAAGAGTAGGAAATAGAAGTAGAATGTGGAAGCCATTTTGTGTGTATTGAAGGTTGTGATAATCAGTTGATTGATGACGAGACTTTGGCAAAGAAAATGGGAAATTTATAAGCGTTACTCATTAGGCAAGTGGCTTCTGGCTGGGGGGATAGTAGTCCACTTTGGGGGAATGAATCACCTACGAAGTTTCTGCTTTTTGGCTTTGAATTTTTTTTTTTTTTTTTTCTAGTTGATTTAATCTTATCTTCTCCTAAAAAATGAAGATGGGTCATGGGGTCAAGCGTCTTTAATTATACCCATTTTATTTGTCCGACTATTTATTATACTATCCACTAGTACTTTCCACTAACACCATTGAGGACCATTGGTTTATAGGGGCGTAAAAAAAAAAAAAAAAAAAAAAAAAAAAAAAAGAAAACTCTTGACATCACATATCAATTGGGAGATATTTAGGACAAACTCTCCACAATCTCTCTCAGTTTTCCGTTCTTTTTGGCTTAGTCGAGTTATGTCTTACGATTATTTCAGACTGTTATTGATATATGTTGGTACGTACTATAAGGATAGTGCTGCATTTGGTTTTTATTTATTTCTAAACAATTTTCTATATATTGTTTCATTCATAAATTAGAATCATGACAAAATACATTGTTTGTCGTCAAACTATATTATATATATATATATATATAATGGATCCGAAAGCTGTTTCAAATTTCTCTAGGATAGCTTTTCTTTTAATAAATTAATGATTTTTAGGGATTAATCTTTTAATTAGTTAGTAATGGTAAAGGAAAACGTAGGGGAAAAATTCATACTACTGTATTGTGTAGGCCAGCTGGACGTTCCAATTATGGAGATACATATGATAAGATACAAAATAAATAGTTATTTGTGATCTTTTTTCTTTTTTTTTGTTATTTAGATTTTAATCGCATCCCACCTTAATACATGTGAAAACTCCTAATATTCACGAGCATTCACGACTCCTCTTGGCTGTTAATGAAAACAAGACCTGCATTGACAAAAACCTTAATTATATGATATCATTTAATATATCGGCATGGGAATGACTACCTTATCAAAATATGTCCACGAACTCAGAAAGAAATCCATCTTCTGAGCCAGAGAGTCTTTAATATGCAAATCAAACTCTTGCATAGTTCCATTGTTTATTTTTTAAGTCTTAACTCATTACGAGCCGTCAAAAGTGACTGTTTGACTAGGTACAATACTACTTGTACGATAACGGTTTGTTTTATTGATTCAAGTTTTTTAAATTTTTAATTTGAGTTAAAAAAATAAAGTTATGCGAGAGAAAATATCTATAGCATAAAAGTTTAAAATTCAAATTTTTATGAGACTCGCATAAGACCAAGAAAAAGCTCTTTTTAAGATCATGTAGTCACTAAATTGACCATAGTCAACAATAGCTTTAAAAGGCCCACGTCAGTTTCCTCTTTTAGCATCTAGCATTTAAGATATGTCACTTGTCAATAGAAAACAATTAAGTTGATTTTGGAGGCTTTGAAGTTTGAAGATGGTCTTCATGCGTGTTTGGTTGTAGCGTTGTAGGTCCAGACTCATTCAGCTCAATTTGAATCTACCCAGCCAATTTAATTCGCGTTTGGAACAAAAAAATATTCCTAATTGTAATCTAATTGCAAATTAATTAATCCGGTTTAAGCGCTCGACAAGTTTTTGTTTGTTTAAGATGTAGTCAATAATAACTGTTTTTGTTTGTTTCTTTTGCTGGACAAGCTTACTTGTAAGATTAATATGTCATGCGTTGAGGGAAAAAAAAAAAACTTAGTGGCACCACCGATGTTAAGTATCATAATTAATAAAAGATGGATTCCACTTGTGAGTTTTATATTACGAAACTTACTTTTTATTAGTGAGTGGTACTGAATATCAGTAGTGTCTAATAGCATTGCTCGTTTAGAAAACTGTATACGACTAGCTCATTGTTTCTAGCAAGTTCGCCTGAAACTAGGCAATTGCCGCAAATTTTGAATTCTGGGTTCCTACTTAATCCAAAGTTCAAGCTTTTAATTCAATTACTTCATATTTCAAGCAAAAAATAAAAAATAAAAATTCAATTACTTCATATCTGTGCGATAAGATATGACTTTAACTGAATCATATCTTTGAATCTTCCTATGCAAAATCTGTCATGATCACATTAGGAAACACATCAACGATAAAGATGCCCCCACAAGAGAAAAAGCTAGAGAGTACTGAGATTTTAATTTCGAGAGGCAAAAGAAAAGAGAATGGTACTTTTGGAAGATTGTTTTGAGTGGGAAATTCCATAGTTTTTGTCAATTAATTACACGTGTGCTATCAAAGTGTCGCAAGAGGACAAGTGCATGGATGCTATAGGAACATTTAGCAGTTTACAGTAACTTTTTTGTTTTGTAATTTTCTTCCTTTATTTGTCGGATAAGATTAAGACGTTAAAAAATAAAAAATAAAAAATAAAACGAGAGATCTAGAGAGAGAGAATGACAGCCTATGCCTTTATAAAATACATTTTTTATTTGAAAGTGATTGACTAAACAAAATATTATATAAGACATTATTTTGATCAACTTAACGTCAATTCATAATTGCATAAAGGATCGATGCAGCAAGTTGAAGCCGCGTTTCCATGATTTTTTCGGTACGACCTTATCTGCTCAGGTTACATATTAAGGAGACATTTGCTTCGTAAATTAAAATCATAACATTAAAATTATTTTTGATTTAAGTGTTATTTTTATAAAAAAAAATATTATAGAAAATCATAAATCATGATTCAAATTATGGTATGAATCTTTTTACCAAACGTCTCCTAAATTTCTAATTTTTTTTCATATCTTCCTTTTTTTTTTTTTCCCTTAAGATGATGTCGGCGCTATTTTCATTTTGTTTTTTCTTTAACCTTGGTTAAAATTTCAGATGTGTACATTCGTTTCATGTTAATTTTCTTAATATCTTAACATGGCATTACTTGATTATAAGATCGAATTAGTAGTTCAACAGTACGGTAAATGATATTTGATATTCATTTATTAAAAAAAAAACAAGAAAACTAAAGGAAGATATGTTCATGAGACTGTCTCCTGTAGGCCGTCCCACCGGTAAGATTAGTTTTTTGACTATTGGACCTGGTCAAAATTAAATGAGATTAAAAAAGTATGTAGAACATACAGTTTCTGATATAGATCTGAAGGCTATAAACAGCTGAAAAAATAGAACTACCGAGAGTTCCATTTTTCTGGTCCCATAGGAGAAACTTCCTATGTTCATAAATAATTAAAAATGTGAAACCAAGAAATTGAATCGATTAATTAAGTAGTACCTTATAAAAAATCAATTAATGTTTTTCCTTCATAAAAAATATCTGCTGTTTCAAAAATTGGTAACTTAAGTACTATGTCCAATATTTGGATTAGTATTTGATAAGGATAATTGAATTATTTATTTTAAATAGTTTGTATTTATCTTAGGTTTATTTAGTTTAGCTTATCCGTAATATTTAGAGATTTAAATAGTAGTTATCTTTTATTTAAAAGTTTGAATTATTACTAATTATTAGTTATTAAGAGATAAATTTTTTAGTTTAAATTATTTGAATTAGATTTAGGATGTGTATAACATATACACATCTTATTCCTATTTGAATAAGATGTGTATATGTTATTTTCTCATTAAAGAAAAACTTATATCATTATTCTTCAAAGCATAAATCAATTAGTATTAGTCAGAAACAAATATAGCTAGCGTCACGGCTTTTAACAAATCTTCTTGCTAGTACTTATGTTATTGATAATGCACATATTATTAATTGACTAATTTTTAAGAATGTTCAAATGAAAAATCATAATTCTAGCTCATCCAAATAAAAAAAATAACAACTGCAAAAAATAAAATAAAATAAAAACATAACAATTGCCGAAAAGATCATATATATCATAGACATATCTCAAACGATCTATATTCTACACAACAGAAATTAAAAAGAAAAAGGAGTTTGAGAAACATTACATATTCAATATATATGTTTTCAACTAAGCCATTTAACCAATGGGAATTTATTTAGTCACCTAAACCAAAAATACATGAGCATATCTATAAGTAGCACTTGGCGTACTCCTTCTAAGCAATAGAAGTGAAGTTGAAGTTGGAGCAACTTGTTTTCCTGGTCAGGAGCGTTGAGCTGAATCCAAGCCTAGAAGCAGCCAAATCAAACTGGAGAAGATTATCCTCAATCTGATGCCCTCCAATAACAATGGCGGTTCTTGTCCACTTCACACCGCAATCAACAAATCTAATTGGACCACCATCAACAACTCCAAGGCACAAAACATCGTTACTAACCCTAACCATGGAGTTCGCTCCAAGAATGCTCCACACCCCCTTCTCGCTCTGCAGAACCAGGTCGATCTGCGGCACGGCGGCACCAGCCCTCGTGACGCCGATGTTTTTCGAGCTAAAGCATGCCCCGAACGGCGACGCCGGCGAAACTCTAGTAATGCCGTTTCCGAGCTCTTGAACAAAAGCATCAACCACAGCATTGTATATGGATGTTTCCAACACCGTGTAGGGCTCAACGGTGCTGATCTTTGTTCCACCGTGGCCTTCGTTGTCAATGGACAAGAGTGTGGTATTCAACGTGACGGGTTTACCGTTGATCTTAATGCCCTTTACTCCGATGAAATACTCAGCCGATGCCTCACCGGGGAAGCCGCCGAGAAGGTTTACGGGGTTTTTGATGAGGGGAGTGTATGTGAGGTACTTAGAGACGTCGAATTTCGAAGACACAACGTAAGGCCCGTCGCCGAAAATCACGAAGCCGTTAGACGTAGTTGAGGAGCTCAAGCAAACGGCGAACTTCCGCGGAAAGCTGAATGCGGCGGAGAATCGTTGAGTAATAGAGACTGCGTTCCTTCCAAAACCAGCCATGCCCTTGACAAGACTAGCAAGGCCTTCCAAGAGGAATGTAGGCGCGCAAGTGAAGAGAAACTTCTGAACAGAAACTACTCTGCCAGGATTAGTTCCGTCGGTGGATTGTACTGAAACAGTGTCTTGCGAAAAGTCTCCGCCGGTGCCGAGATCGATGACGGTGTTGGTCGGAGACTCGACGCAGATGTCGTCTGCGGGATTAGGGT